GAAGGAGTTGTCCTGAGAGATAAATAATAACTACAGAGAGACACAGAGCTACAGAAGCAATCACAAAGAGATGCAAAACAAGTACATAGAGACACAAAACAATGTTGTTTCCAAAGGAGATGTCCATGTTAGCTTAAAAGTTGATTGAATGTTCATCCTTGACAAAGCCAAGAGTAAATTCTCAATCCCTTAATTGATTTTGTCCTGTTCATTGACACAAAAGCTGTACTTCCTCTCGTCTCTGTGCATGTAGAGTAGCACGCATGTAGCTTCATAAGAGCACTGATAAAAGTAACTTAATCTTCTGCAGTGGACACCATGGCCTCCACCCTCTCTGTGCGCAGCTACTCCATACGCCAGCCCTCCTTCTCCAGCATGTCTGTGAGGGACAGTGGACGCAGCATCCGCTCCAAGCCTCCGGTCTCACCTCTGTCCTCTGTCAGCACCCTGTCTCTGTCCCGCTCCGTCTCGGTGGGCAACGGCCTCAACATGCTGGGCTCCGGCCTCTCATTCAACGGCTTCGGCGTGGGCGCAAGCGAGAAGGAGTGCATGCAGGGCCTGAACGATCGGCTGGCCAACTACCTGGACAAGGTGCGCTCGCTGGAGAGGTCCAACGCCGAACTGGAGGTGAAGATCAAACAGCTCATGCTGGAGAGGGCTCCAAAAGGACATGACATCGAGGGGATGATGGCCCAGGCACACGCCATCGGGCAGGAGGTCAGTGTCCAGTAGATCAGGTTCAAGAAGTTCGTTTTCCACAGTCAGGAAGCATTTGATTACACCCGAGTGACTGATATTGAATTGATACAGTATGTTTTGAGTTGTAAATATTGTTACCTGAGATTATTTTTGTCTTTTTGTCTGTGCACCTAATATCATGTTGGGGTGCGCATATACAACTTTGAAGCACTAAATAAATGAATAAGCTTAGGCTTGTTAAATAAAGAAAACAATTTATCTTTCTCATTTGAGTTTGATAGAAACAGAACATATGTTGTGCTTGAAAACAGCAAAATGACATTTGCACATATTGACAGAGATAAAGAAAAAGTAGTTTTAACAGTGTGACATTGTGAGCACAAAGCTCCTGCAGCAACCTTTTTAATAGATCCAGGATCTACAGCCAGATAGAATTTCATGCTCACAGTGACATGCTTTAGGAAGAACACTCATTATTTTCTGCCAGCCAGCTGCAGTAAATAAACAAACACACTAACATTTTTTTTTAAAAAACATATCATCTCTAGTTCTCCATGCCAGATCTTAACGAACTTTCCATGTTCCTGCTCAGGTGAGAAAGAAGACGCTGGAGAACGCTCGTATCATGCTGGAGATTGATAATGCCAAGCTGGCAGCCGATGACTTCAGGGTCAAGTGAGTGTCACACAGAGGTTCCTTTCTTTTACTTGCCTGTGAGTGTTCACATGGGAGCGCCAGACTGCAAAGCAATGTGAATAAATGACCTTTCTGTCAGGCTGCGAAATAAGAGCCCCATTCCCACGGTGCTCAGGCACCTACAGGAGACAAACAACCGCGTCGTCAGTTAGCGCAGGATTTGATAGATCGTGCAGGTCAGAGGGACATCGTCTGTTTCTGAAGAGTCCACAGTTGGCAACGTGAAGCTGGAGGAAAGATGGTAGAATCATGATACACCCACCGCTGCTGCTTTTCACAATGTGTTGATGGTATGTTCTGTGGCCTGATGTGAAGGAGTAATACATCAATTGACAGTGACTTATGGTATCAGCAGCAGAGTGCACATGTACCTTACATGCAGATCTTTGTGTGGTATTTTTCACTTGTGTGCACTCATTCTTGTGTCTTCACAAACTCTCCTGCACATTTGGATCGAATAATATTCAGTCCACTGCATATACTGTATAACTTGCAAGTCTATTTCTAATCCAGAAAGAGGCCGCATGAAGAGATATATATCCTTAACTGCTTTGTGTGACACAAAATGAAGTTGTTTCACAAAATAATCTTAAATCAAGGTCCATGTGCCTTCATCAGCTGATTAAGTGAGCTAAAAATGAATTTACTGATGAAGGGAGTTACAATTATTTTGCCAAAGTACAATTTCCAAGGTCAACAGTGAATGTAGACTGAACTTGTTACAGTAATGAGGTGCATTTTACTGGAAACCAGTCCCTCCAGTTTAAAGTCTTTCTATCTTGGGATTTGGTGTCATGAATATTAGCTCTGAACTCCACCAAGAATGTAGAATATCCTGTTATCTTATAAAGGAAGGCCTTATAGATAAAACTCATGTATTCTGATGCCTTCTAGATGCCACTGATGACCATCCAACCCTTTCATGTAACTCACAGAGATGAGGGTGATAGCTGACTTGTGTAATGTCACAGCGTCCAGTGGTTTAAGGACAGTGACAGCAGCATGAAGATACAGGACACCTCCATCATCCAGTGTAGACAGAATGGTGGATTGTGTAATGGGTACAAGCTCTGTTTCTGTACAAGAATCCAATTTGTATTTTTGATTTTTAAGATAGATGTTCAGTGTGAGCTTTGTAGGACAATTTGCTGTTTAAACAAATTCCTATTTATGTTTAAAATGCTTTACTGTACCAGTTAGATCTCCATTTAGAGCATAGATATGTTTAGGGATATCTAAGGTATATACATGTTTTATCTCTTAGATTAGAGCAAGTTTTGAATTAAACAGAGAGGTCTGCAGGCCGTCAAAAGCAGGCCTGGTTTCATACAAGATGATATCATCAGCATATTCAGCATATATACATCAGCATATATAAAATAGGTGTTGCACACATCTACTTATGACCTCCTTTCCTCTTATCTGAATTCTCCACTGTGTTTTTTCCGCAGATGGGAGGCAGAGGCCACCTTGTGCCAGTCGGTGGAGAGGGACTGTCAGGCGCTGAGGAGAGCAAAGTCTGATCACGACCAGATCATCGCCACTCTGCGAGGAGACCTGGACAGCCTGAAGGAGGAGCTCTACTTCCTCAAAAAGAATCACGACGAGGTGAGATCCCCACCGAGGTGAAGGTCACGTCAGACATGATCAATGTGTGTTTACTCATCAAGATAATCACTTTACAAGTTGTCAAGTGGCGTCTTGTTTAAATGTAGGAAGCACAGTGGGTTCTCTGAGCTGCATTAGGTCTATAATCAATATAATCCAGAAACCACAGAGATGTAATACACTCCAGTGTTTGTGTTTTTTTTTCTATCAGCAACATAACTGAGACAGGTTTACATGAATCAGCTCTGAGGCAGTTTATGTTTGCTCACTCAGAAGGTTTAACAGTATTCAGTATCTGAAACATGATAATGTTAAGTGTACAGACACACCCTGTGTCTTTGTAGCCATGGAGCTTCCAGATGGCAAGATAACACCCATGTACACAACACAGGAGTGTTTGAGCTCATCCAGCCAAAGGGATTGTGTGTGTTTAGACAGTCAGGTGTGGTGTCCAGGATGTGGGCTGAACCTCCCAGGTACTGCTCTGCTCCCTGCAGACTTGACTGAAAAGAAAGATTTTAATGCTGAGGGGATCAAAAATTAAAGGTCACCACAAGAGGGATCCATTGTTGGGTTTTGATAATCCCCATAAATTTTAAATAGTAAATATACCACCATTATCATTCTAAACTACACACCTGCAGTTGGATTGGAAAGCCTGAGAAGATGTAGCAACAGTCACTGAGGGGAAGAGGAGCCAAGCAAAGGGTCAGTTTATCAGAAATCATCTCAGACATTTGGCCTAAATTATAAAAAGAGAGAAAGAAAACAGAAAGTAGACCCCTTTAAATCCATGTAGCCACTGAACTACATTGCATAGTGGATCTAAGTTCTTGTTACCGTAATATGTTTAGACTAAAGGAGAAAGGTTAGATGTCAAAATCAGATGTAAGCAGCCACTGCAGCTTCAGAGCTGTAGCCCTCCAAACCAGCTCTGCGATCAACAGGCTGTCAGTACTACTCCAGGGTGTGAGGTGGAAATCACAGTGAGATTTTTCAGAATTAAATAGTGTTTGTTCTTTCCCCTCTTTAAATTATTGCAGGAGATGAGCTCCCTCAAGGCGCGTCTGGCCAACGAGCAGGTGAATGTGGAGGTGGACGCGGCTCAGGGTCCTGATCTGGGGGCCATACTTGCTGAGCTGAGGGTCCAGTATGAGGGCATCGCTCGCAAAAACAAGGAAGAAGCCGAGGCCTGGTACCTCAAGAAGGTCAGTCGCTGCATAAATTTGTCCTTATTTTTCTGGTATTAACACTTGTCTTTTGCTTTTTTTGTAGTATTATAGACAAGATACTGCACATTACATTATGTATCGTTTTGATGTATGTATCCACAGTTAGAAGCAGTGCAGTCAGAGGTCAAAGAAAGCAATGAGGCTTTACGTTGTGCCCAAGGTGAACTCGGTGAGAGACGGCGCTTCCTGCAGGCTCTGGAGGTTGAGCTCGATGGTCTTCGCAAACAGGTATAACACAAAGGAATGGTGCATGGGTGCAGTCTGAACATGTGAACCTCCATGAGTAAAGACATATTTCTCTCTTTGAATGATAGACCAGAATATCGTTCCCAACCCTTTTGTCTGTGACTTTCATGTTGTTGTTTGATAGTTAGATATTCAGGTATTTGATAGATAGTTAATCTACCACTTTGAGAGGCGGAAGCTGGACGTTTCAACCATTTATCGTTTACTTCTAGCTTTTCATTTCTACTTTTCTGTTAGCTTGCTAACTGGTTAACCATACATACATAATGTTTATTCACTGATTGCACTGCACCGATTTTATACATCAAAGTCCATTTACAGGTCTTTGTGAGTACAACTGCATGTGTTCCAAAAGTTGTGTGAAGCTTTTTGTCGCTTCAGAGAAAGAAGGAAGACAATTTATTGTGCGGTGAGATCACCAGACCTCTGTAGCCTGCTCCTCATCTCTTCTTTAGGCTTGCAATGATGAGGATACATTATCTGCCACCACAGTAGCATAGCACATCCAAAGCTTTAACCAAACTGTCAGTATGTCTAGTTGCATTGTGGGTAATGTAGGCACCAGGTTTTGACAATGAAGAAGAATACATGGAATAAAAAAGATAATACCTTTGGTTCCACTCTGTTGCTTTAATACTTATTTTTAACTGTCCATCATGAGCCTGAGCTCAGGAGTATAATACATTACGACCTTATTGTCCACTAGAGCCGAAAATTGTCTTTGACTCACCAAAACATACAAGCAGCACAAGACCAGGTAGCATACACAACATATCGATCAAACTGAACAAGCTCCTGAACTCCAGACACTGGTTTGTAGCTACTCTGTCCTCTCACTATGAGGGCAAGCAAAGAGTTTTTCCCTGTGGAGATGGATCCATTTTCACATTGACTACCAGCACCCTACTTTTTTAGAGCTCAACCTGTCTTCACCTCATCTCTTATGCACTCACTCTATGCACATCACAGATGTTGGGCGTAACTATAGATAACAGCTGCTTTCGCTTTGTCAACAAAGAGCTACTATAGCGGTAAAATGCACACAGCAATTTCATTCTGCTCCAATAATCAATCACTGTGACAAGACATAGACCCAAGTGTTTTGTCTGTGTCTCCATTACAAGTCAACACAGATCAAACAGCACATCCTTTGCCTCCTTTGGAGGCAAATATAGCTCATGGATGATTGCTCAGCCTGATAGTGAGCACACAATATTGAATGCAGAGATATTATGGCGTTGACAGTCTCTAGTTTCTCTGGTTGAGTGGTGGGGGTCGTGAACGGATGAGCTCAACTGGTAAACATACAAAGAACTATCGGCTGGTAGAAACGTACATCAAAGGTGTACTGATTGTCCAACAGTGGAGACACTTGTAGACATAGTACACCATGCTCTGTGTGAACAGTCTGAGTTATAGGGGAGTTTTCTTCTAAACAAACAAAAGTTATACACACAAAATGCATTGTGCGTATCATCTAACAGATGTGACTTTTCTTTCTACATAAAACATTTGCAAAGCCAGTTCTTAAAGGGGTTACTAGCTTGCAGTACTTTGCAATTGACTGTAATGTATGAAATTATAGAATAACTTGTTTTCTTCTGTCACTGATCATTACCTGCTACCACGCTCTGTTAACAGGTTGGTGTGTTGGAGGGAAACCTTGGAGAAACAGGGCACAAATACTCTGTGGAAATGGACCGTCTTCAGGCCACACTGACCCAGCTGGAGGATGAGCTGTCTCAGCTGCGTTTGGACATGCAACGCAACAAGACTGACTACGAACAGCTGCTGCGCATCAAGCAGAACCTGGAGATGGAGATCGCCACCTACAGGAGGCTGCTGGAAGGAGAGGAAATGTACGTGAGGGCCTAGAAACCACTGCCATTACTCAGAACTACATACATTTCAGAAATACTTTCTTAAAAATGTATTTGTATGTTTTTCTTTAAAGCGACACCAATGTGAAAACAATGTGGTTGTTTGTAGTGATGAACCTACAGAGAATTATTGAGCATTTCGCAGCTCAAGACCTTAGCTATATTGATCCTCTAATCTAACTCTCAGCAACAAAGTATATCTCAGCATCAGCTACCAAGTGAACATGACTTCTACTTTGTACTTTGCTTTCTTGGATTAAGTTGTTATATTCTATTGTCCTACAGGGTGAAAGAAACACCTCCACCTCCTAAAAGTAAGTTCAAGTTATTTTATGTACTGGATGTTATTAATGACTGAATACGACAAGCCACAACAAAACTGTGCAAAATCCTCACTTAAAGGATTGCACTTGTAGAAAACCACCTGTCCTCGCATTGTATTTTTATGTAAATGGTACTTGTCAGTGCTGTTCCAGTGGACAAGAAAGATCGGTGTGATTCAGTATTTATTGTGGCTGAAGTGACTAACCCTGGTTTAACTCTATGTTACAGAAGACCCTGACGTCAGGACCAGGAAGATTGTAAAAGTCGTTACTCAGACCATGATCAATGGTAAAGTGGTAGATGAGTCCAGTGAGGTGGAGCAGATTGAAGAACGCAAAAAATAAGCCAAAGTGCGTGCAGTGATGGAGCAGTGATGTCTGTTAACTCCAAAGTGCCTGATGACCGTGGATCATATTTTGCCACAGTGCTCTTGTTTTATATCTTCCTTATTTTGTCTCCAAGTTTAATGCCTTAAGTTTGCCTAAATGATCCGAAGATGAAATTAAAGTTGTTAAAGTGTCAAAATATGTTCATCCTTTTCAACAACATGATATATTTCTGTACATATGAACATTAAAATTCAAGACGAAATTCATAATCATGATATAATAGTCTGTTTGATAATAGAAAGAAAGGGAATATCTGTAGATTTTGCTGAGACTTGATGAAATGTGTGAAATACTGTGGGAAGAATAACAACATCATTTGATCTGACAAAACAACTCTAACTCAAGGTCCACTTTATAGCTTTTTAACTACATTAATACACAGTCTTCCCCAGCAGATGGAGTTTCCTCAGTTGTCATCAAAATGTGAAACATCTGGAAAATGCTAGTATGAGGATTTTTTTTTTTTTTTGTCAAGCTAAGGTTTTCAAGGTCAAGAATGAGCTTTCACAATCAACCACATTTTAATTTAAAGGAATAGTTTGTCATTTTTGGAAATATGCAGTTTAGCCTTCTTAGATGAGACGATTGATACCACTCATACGTTTGTATGATAAATATGAGCTTTATGCTAAGCTAACCAACTTCCAGCTGTAGCTTCATTTTCAGTGCACAGACATGAGAGTATTTCCAAAAATGTCAAACTATCTCCTCTAGTACTGACTGAGGAGATTTTTGGAAGGTTACAATAAATGTCATTATTTGAAATTTGTCTTCACAGTAAACAAATGCTTTCTAGAAAATGTCTTGTTTTTGCAACAGTATCTACTGTATTTGCACAATAGTTGTAATGGGAGAATTGTAACCAAGTTTAATGCGAGAAATAAACAAATCAACCAAAGCAGCTGTACAGTGTCAATAAAACACAGTGTTTAAAGTGTTAAAGTGTCCCTGTCATTTTAGAGAGATCTTAGCTTAAACAGAAACTTTGAGTGATACTCGGGGAACAAACTGGGGGGAGAAAGAAAGAAACTAATGATTCTGCACTGAGGGGGCAGAAACTACAAAATCCACATACAGTAGTATCAGGTAACAGTTTTTTGTTTGTGCAAGTCTTGCGTTTCGATGTCTTTCTCTGTGAGTTTGTGTGCATATCATAGACTGGCCAAGATTGGTGGCACATAATATATAGTTATTTATTTTTCATTTACTTACAACACAGTAATATAGATAATCTACAGTTTATTATTTCCAAGAACAGGGGCTTTAAACTTGACCCTTCACTAATTTTTGCTCATATAAAGTGGTGTTGGGACATAAAGTCAAAAAATGTTTTTGTGGCAAGTTTGTAAAAAATAATATACAACACATTTAGTTGTTTAATAGTTAAAGGATTGTGTTTGTGAAGAATTGTGCTGTTGAGATGTACAAACAGCTTGTAAAGAAATATTACTTACATGAAACACATTAGAACAAACACACAAAAAATGTTTTTTTCCAACTCAGTTTTTCAACAAATGAAATACAGAGAAATCTCATGGATGACACCAGAGAGATGAAGTTATTTCCAATGAAAAGGAAATGACTAAACTTACAGTAACGTTTGTTTTTGATCATGGAACTAAATTTAATTAATTAAAAATTATTTTTTAAGTGTGCTCAATTTAAATCACTTAGAATCACTCATTCAAAATTTGCCTGAGAAATAAGGTGGAAAAAATGTCTGTGACAGGAGCAAGTTATCATCAAACAAGCAAGAATAGTCTGTGTGTTTATTGTTTGGGAGCTTTTCATTAGGGCTTATTAGGTGCAGTTCCTCAAGGTCTTCACTCCAGTGTGAAAAGGTTTTACTATGACGCAGGAAAACCACACATTCCCAGACTCAGACGTCACTGATGATGTCAAAGCTTTAAACTGCCTTGACCATAACATAAATGAATGTTTGTGTACGTTAACAGACGAATATGATGCATTTGTGTGGAGATTTTTGAGAGAAATACGTTTTCAGTGCTTTTTATCATTTAAAATATATGATAAAAAGTTATCAAGTTTTCTTTCCTGTAATTTTTAACTTTTCTGGAGGGGTATTTATGATGTATTTATGATATTTCTTGATTGAAGTATTATTGTCTCTGCAGTTTTCATCATGAACAAACAGTACTTCTTGAAGATCCAAGTGGTATTGAAACATTGTTTGTGTTTTAGAGTCAGTGTACAGGTTTAACTCTTTTCATCATATAAGCCTTAAACAGCAGAATCGTCAGCACGGTAGTCTGAATAGTTACAAGTACTATTTTTTGTCACCTTGATGAGAAACTAGTAAAATCCAAACATAGATGTTTCTCACAGGGAGTCTACCTCATGAGCTCATCCACAAGATTTACAAGCTTTCAGAGTGGACAACAGTTGTTTTGTGAAACGAATGAAGTGTGACACGCTAAAACTTTCCCCACCCACTTCTGCAGAAATAGGACAGCAAAACCTCTTCTTTCTGGCACTTAACAGTAACACCATGTTTGAGTTGCAAAATAACAATTTTAACTGCAATATAACCCATATCTGTAACTTAAAAATTCATCTAAAACCTTTTGTTACTGCCTGATATCATAATTGATGCCATGTTTAGGATTGGAGAGGAACAGATTGACCTGCACATGTTGTCTGCACAGATCCACTAACACATCCTCTGTATCAGTTCTGTAGTGATATTTGATAGAGTAGTGAATAGTACCTCCCTGTGGTGAAATACATGCAATGTCCCTGCAGAAAAAACAAAAATAAATCAAACATAACATATAAACTAATATAAATGATGTGCTCTATTGCTTCATGTGTCTTGAATTGTCTGTCTTTACTTGATTAATTTGAAAGAACCTAAATAATGTTTCTCCAGCATCTTATATGGGGAAATATGGATATTATCTCACTAATGTGTCAAAGAGTCTACATACATTTATGAATTATGTTAATTATTTAGACAGTTTGTTTATTTATTTAGCTTAGCTCTCCTTTAATTGACATCTGCAGCCGGCAGAGTTGTTCAAATCTTTACTTTGAAGAGAAGCTGTCTCTGTTTCCGGCTCTCGATTTTCCTTGTTCAATTTTTATCTTAAAAGTTGGGTAATGGAAAAAACTGACGCTTTGGTGTGATGAATTGAATCGCACGTCTTCATTCAGTGGGACAATAACACACGCAAAGCGTTGATGGCGTGTAGGCAGCATCGGCTAATGAAGAACGAGCTCACAAACGTCAACATACATTTGCACTTAGGCACAAATAAGACGATGAAATTAGGCAATACCCTGGCATTTTTCATTATACAACGTGAACAATTGCAGAAGAATTAAACTTCATGCTCGGACCACGAACCTTTGTTGCTGCATTTTTCTTTACAAAAAATGCTTCAGAAATAGTCAAAAACTTCTTCAGGAAGTTACAAGGGTAAATTCATCCTATTTTGTGTAAGTGTAATTATGACATTTTAATATTTGGGTTTTAACGTTTTGAAGCTCATGCGCATGCGTGAAGTTTAAAGCCCAGAAATTGAACCGTTAATTCATCCTGAATAGACGATCTTTGACATGAATCCATGAATTTCCCGTTTAACAAACCTAAATGAAACTCACGCCGTTATGTAAGTTTGATGCCAACTAACACGGTGCTTTCATTCAAGTTTTAATTGTTTAGTTTGTGCCATTGAAGCTTTAGCTACATGAGAATATTTTAGTAGTTGAAGGCTTTAGAAAAAAAAGTTAACTAACGTCATAGCGTACTCGGAAGATATAGCTAACCAAGCTAACCGAAATACCCACGTACTATTTATTTTATGATATTTTAACAGTTATTTTAGGAATTGACTTAAATTTATGTCTATACGATGACATTAGATATTAATTTTAATATATCTGTTGAAGGATATCGTTAAGATAATGATGAGAAAACAAGAAATATCAAATTAATGTTCCACTAAAATATGTCAGTTTTTTGTGTATGTTCATTTGATGTTTACAGGTCGGAAAACGACAGCTGTTTACCTACTCATATTTTCTCTACTATCAGATATAAAGCTCTGGACTATGTGTTTGAGGTCAGTTTGTGGCTTGCTAATTTTACCTCAGAATATCTCATGAGTATAATATCTCAAAGTTGAGGAAAACGGGGAAACTTAAAGGACAATATTAGGGACCAATTCTCAGTCTTTTTTTGAACCACTAATTGTTGTAAAAAGGGTGGCAGGAGGAAACACATTGAAATTAGATAAAGTTTTCACAATTCTAAAAGTGGGTTTTAAACAGCTTAAAGGCTTAAACATTGTTAAAACCCTTTCACATCAGTAAGTGGTGCAAAAAACAGCTAATTAGTAGCTTAATATTGTTTTTTAAGTTTCCCTTAAAGTTCCCCTTTAGCTGGTGAGAAAGAAGCCGCAAACTTAAAGCACTGATCCTGTCTCCCTCTTTCCTTTCCATTTCTGTGTTTATTTCAGGCAACCACCAGTTTGAAAGTCATGATGAGCTTGCTGGCACTGCCTACGCCTTACTTCACTGGCACCCATGACCTGTACCCCCACAGTGGCAAGCTGCCTGAAGACACCTACAGGACGCCGTGGATCAGAGGTATACAAGTGGCCTAACTAATATGTGGGCAATCAATCTGCATGTGTGTACTCTGATTTTTGAATGTGTAAGCAAATCTGCAAATATGCACACAAATCTGTAAATGTGTGTGGTGATCTGGCTGTTGTGAATGCCCCATTTCCCTGCCTAGTCATCATTTCCACACTACTAATGAGTCTTACGTCTTAGATACTAAGAGCTTGTTCAGTGCAGTGATCAGGGAGACAACATTGCCTTTATGAAATGATCCCAATTTTCCAAAAACTGTCCAGTCTTGCTTCACATCAGTTGTCAATTTATCCAGAGCTTGGTTAAAGATTGTCATTATCACACTTTTCCTACTAAGACAGTCACTGCTCCTTGACTTTGAAGGGCAGAGTACACGCAGAAGTAAGTTGTATCCCTCTTAATACTAGCATTCGTCAAACTTGCAGATGATGTTCATGTTAAGTATGCTCTCCACTTTCTTGCTTTTGATTTTTGATGACCA